TCCCATACCCCTTACTCACTTATTTCTTCCTCCAAAAAAAAAAAAAAAAAAAAAAAAAAAAAAAACTCCCAAATTATATTATTCAAAAACAGATAAAAAAAAACAGAGGAGTGATCGTATGTGAAAGGGTACATGGTAAAGATGGAGCAAAATGGGAATATGATAGCGCCTTTCGTGATGAAAACGCATCAGATGGTTAGCGATCCATCAACAGATCATCTAATCAGTTGGGGAAGAGCTAATAACAGTTTTATTGTTGTTGAGCCTTTAGAATTTTCGCAGCGAATTCTTCCCTCATTTTTCAAGCATAACAATTTCTCTAGCTTTGTTCGACAGCTTAATACATATGTAAGTTTTCCATCCTTTTTTTTTTGGGAAATAGAGTGTAAAATATGGATTCAATTCTAATCAAACAAATTTTCATTTATTGTTTTCAGATTTTTTCTAGGGGAATAAAACAAACATTTGAGTTCTTTGTTTGAAAGAGTTACCTACCTAACAACTTAATGTTAACTTTCACAAGGTAGATAGGAATATTGACTCCGTTTGTTTTGGTTAATAAAGCGTACACTCCACGAATTATATTTTCACAAAACATACACTCTAATTAGTGAGTAGGGTTTACTCCATCAGTCCGAAATTAGTTTTACATCGGTAGTTTACATTGAAGTGCTTCGATTCTATAATTGGTTATGTATATATATATTTTGGACGGAGAGAGTATATGTAAATTTCATCATTAGAAACTAAGGTTTTGGATGCCCTTTTCTTCTTCGAGTATACCAATTTTTTTTGTAATGAAATTCATGTGAAAAGGGGGATGAGCACTAAGGTTTAATCCATGTCGAAGCAAGAGATCAAATGGGACCATTACCAACTTGGATAGGGTCCTATATATTTATATAGATATGTTGTTTATATTATCGATATTAAAAATTAATTCGAGGTATATAAATACAAAATACCTTAATGTTAAAAATTACGGAGTGCAATTATATTAATATGAGTTATGTTTTTATTTTGAATTACACTAGACAAATTTATTTATCAATGATTTGTCAATGTATGATTTGTATCGATGATATCTTACTTTTGTATATGGAACGTTTTCATTATTTAAAAATCATTTTCACTTTTGATGTAGTAATATTTACTTTAGCAAGAACAGTTGGTGAGGGGTGACGATCCCACAGTACTATAAACATAAACCATTTAAGATAAAATTCTTGTAAAAAAAAAAAAAAAAATTACTAGTGGAGTAGTATCGTTAGATTTTTTATTAGGGCTATGATTGTATGTTTTGTTCATATTATCTTGTAACTTTCTAATTGTAACAAATCACTATGAGTTAGAAATGTTAGTATATGAAGCATGGAAAATCAAGAAAACAAGTACTGTCGATTTATGGAGCAAGTAAAATGAGACGGAATTGTAAGAGATTAGTGAAATTATTGTGATGTGTTGCAGGGATTTAAAAAGGTAGACCCAGACAGGTGGGAATTTGCGAACGAGTGGTTCTTGCGAGGGCAAAAGCAGCTGCTAAGGAATATAGCACGCAAGAAACATACCAACCGGCCCCATCCCCACCTTCAAGATGCTGATGATCACGAGTTATTAGTCGAAATCGAACGGCTTAGAGAGGAGCAAAAGACGTTAGATGATGAGCTTAAGGGGATGAATCGACGGTTGGAAGCCACCGAGAGACGCCCTCAACAAATGATGGCCTTCCTATGCAAAGTTGTTGAGGATCCCGATATCTTGCCACGTGTCATGATGGAGCGAGATCGAACTAAACATCTATGTAGTGGTGGTGGCGACGACGGTGCTGCCAGCCCCGAAAAACGGAGGCGGCTCTTGATGATGTCATCCTCTACATCATCCTCCGGCATGGCCCACTCGTATAGTGAGGAGGACGAGGGTACGAACGCAGGGGCAATTTCGTCATCTCATATTAATTTCGAGGTGGATAAATTCCCTCACTCTCCTTCGTCACCCAATACATGTAATAGTCCTATGTATTCAAATAGGTTACAATATAGTAAAGGACAGTATAATTGTATTAGCGTTAATTCTGAACCATTACCTTTGGATTTGGTTCCAAAATATGACCATTTTCAAAGAGGTTTGGACAATAGTGTATATTTAGGCCATAGTCCTAACTACATGACCTTGAAGGAGGAAAATCCATCATATCCATTTTCACTTTTAGATGGAAGCTTTTAGGTTTTTTGTGAATTCGTTCTATTGTACTAAATTTGTTTTCTCATGTGACCCTTTTTAATTTTGTTTTCTCTTCCTTACCTTTTCTTTGTAAACAATAGAAATTATTAGTGTGAACTTATGTACTATGTATATACACGTGTAAGGTTGTTATTAGTCAAGTTTAACATCTATTTGATGAAGTAGGGTCATTAATTATTCATTATGTATAAGTTGATAATGTACAAGTATATAGAATTAGTGTATATAGTGATTGACACTGATTTTATGTGTTCTTATATGTGAATGGTGGGATTGAATGTGGTTTGTGAGTTGTGACTTTGTGTGAAGACAAGGATGATTTGGTTTGAGATAGGACCTTAAACCAATGGATGTCCTCGATTTATTCTAGTCATGCATCAATTTGAATTTATATGAAGCTTTTTGTTTAAAGTGTAATTACTCTTGAAACCTCTTTCTTATAAAAGAAAAAGGTTTTATTTGATTTCTAAGTCAACATTGTTAGTTTTAATCTTTAAATCACTCTTAAACAAAGAGCTTGATTTCATGCAAAGCTATTGAAAAATTAATTCAAATTATGTGTTCAAGCCCAATAATTGAGCCAGTTCATTGACATGTGAATTCTGATGTATTGAATCTATTAAGAATTGAGTGAAGTATAATATAGGCTTTACTCAAGAGCTTGACCTACTTGATCAAGAGCCAAAATACATCTATATTTGAGGGGAGAAAATTCAAGAGCATGTTAATTGATTAACGTCTGTGTATAATAATTCTCAACCCCCGCCATAATAATTCTCAACCCCCGCCCCCCCCCCTCCCAAAAAAAAAAAAAAAAAAAATCAACTTCAGTACTCAACCCATAATTGTTTTGTTTGACACATTTACGTACTAGATTTATATAATGTATATTAAGTCTATAAAAATTTGTTGTTGAAAGATGTATCTAAACATTATACATATATAGGTACATGGAAATATTTATTTTATATTGACATCTCTACTAAGACCCAATTTGATAACAGTGTGCTTTAGGTTGCAATGAGTGTTTTCATTTAACCAAACACAAGAGCATCTGTCAAGGTAGTGATTTAGATAGTGTTTTTCAAGTATTGAGTAAATTAGGATTTCAAATATATAGTGATTTACGTTTGTCAAATCGTATAATTATTACAACAATATTATATGTCTTTTATTGTACGTAGTTTAATGTTTCAGCTACTACTCTTAATTTGCCAAATACTAATAATACCAATAGATACTTTGTGCATCTATTCATCTGATTTTTACAATTTTACTTATCATCTTTATGACTTTATCTAAACTTTTTAAAGTAGAACCACCACAAGAAAAATGTTTTTTCGTAGGGATTATATTGTAATGATTGTACATTCGCTACAATATGCATGTATGTTTGTGAAATTGTAGAGGAAATCGTATCATTTTACAATCGCCATGATAATCCTAAATAAAATCGATATGAAAAACATAATAATAAATATCCACCCTTTTTTTGCACATTTATAAAATTATTGAAAATCGTATAGTTTACAATCGCCACTGAAACTCAAAAATCGATACGAAAAGCTTTTTTCACACTAGAACAAATATTGTTTGACAATAATACATAAAATATGTCATAACTTATTGGTAAAATATTTAATATTAGAGCTTAAAGTTGCATGTTCAACTCTTGTAAAGATCGTATGTGTGATTTTTTTTTTTTGAAGAAAATGAGTTCAACATTTTATAGCGATTATAATCGCTACAATAATCACCACGATTGAATGTAGTTTTTCGTATCGATTATTGAGGACAACCCCAGTGATGTCGAAAAATACTACTAAAGGCTATGGTAACGGCGGATATTGTATCGAATATACATTCGTTGGGAAAGCTTTTTGTAGCAAATACAATCGATACCAAAGGTTGGAATAATCGCTGCGAAAAGGTAATTTTCTTGTAGTGAACTTAATTTAGTTGAGAATTGAACTTTATAAACCTTTTTTAGAACTTTTTTCTCCTGATATTACCTTATTTGAAATATAATACCCTTATTTAAACTCTTTTCAATTTATTTATCTTAAAATAAAGTATAAATAAAGTGAACCTTTAGGGCCTATGGCTAATAATGAGTTAATGACTCCTTCATTATTTAGGTGTCCCGTATATATATTGACTTTTACCCTATTCGTGCACCACTTAGACTAATTTTAATAGCTTAATACATCAAATTAATCATAGTTATGTGATTATTGCTTAAAATCGTCATAATGTATAATTTTTCAATATCAACTTTGTAAAATTAATCCAAAAATAAAAACCCTAGTTAGAATTTTAGATACACCTAGGATACTATATATAGTTTACTTCGTATATTGTTGTTATAATTAAGATATTAGAAATTATGGATTAATTTATGGATGTAAACATGTAATTATCGAACTTGTAAATGCGAATAGATTTCTTTGTAAAGTATATGTGCCTCTAGGCCCCCACCATACAAGACAACAAGAGTGTCAATTTTAGGAAAATGACAAAATATTTATTATAATATTATTATAATAAAAAAATAACACTATATTACAACCAATGACAATTAGCCACCGATCCACCACTGATCGTATATATAGCATATTGTAAAAAGATTCTGAGAGTTTGTAATTGGTTACTTGCTAATTAACTTCCTCAAATACGACAAAGCTTTGAAATATTGCCGACCTAAGCATTTTTATTAGCTTATTAATAATAAAACGATGTTTTGGATGTTAATTGATGATTAGTGTCAAATGTAGAACGTTAAGCCAATATTAAATAATAGACAACTCATGTGTGTCTCTTCATGAGGAATTTTAGGATACACTCGATTGACGTGGTTTGCTAAACATGAATACCTAACACTTCAGCTATTTTTTTTTTTTTTTTTTACAAGAATAACACTTAAGCTATTTCATTTCTAGTAAAAGTCTTAAAAAAGCTATCAACATATAAATTACCAAATATGTTTACTAACCCCTTTTTTTTTTTCATTTACTTTACATTTCAAGAAAATTTTGTACGACTAGTTCTCTTAACTTGATTAGGATTTACGAAGCATAAATTAAGTTATAAGTGCAGATGAAAGTATGAAACAATATTCAATAAATTAAAGTATGAGTGCAGATGAAGAAGCTAGAACAATAAAAGACAATATTTCCTCCGTTTTTTTTTTAAATGAACCAATTTGATTTTTACATATTCATATATTAGTTTTGACTTTTTTTTTTAAATATGTTTGGTTACACAAAGAAAATAGGGGAAGTGGAAAATCATGGGAATTTGAAAATGGAGGAGTTGTTTGATTGACAATAAAAAGTGTAAATGAGGGAATTGCAAATTTATGGGAATTATGACTTCCCACAAAACATGGGAAATTAATTACCCAACCCCCCCTAGGTAAGTCAAAATTCCCATGATTTACAACTTCCTTCATTCCAACCATACAACTTTATGCAATTCCCATGAATTTAATTCCCATGAAATACAAATTCCTATGGGAAGTAAATTCCCATAACAACCAAACGACACCTTAAATGTATTAATAACACATGTTAATTGATGATACTGTTAGATTAGTCACGATATATATTTCATTATATAGACAAGCTAAAAAACACACGCAATGCGTGTGCAATAATAAGAAAAAATAGGTTTAAATTATAGTAATTATAACTATTTTTATAGAAAAAATTGATAGCATATTCTTTTTATCAACAATTAAAAAGAAATTTATATTTACATGATTGATATTTGTAACTTCTTACAAATTTAAATTGTGCTACAATTATTTCTTCTTTAGAAATTTGAAAACTTCATCAATCTTTTATTGATGGATAGTGATACAAAGACTATTAGAAAAAAACTTAAAAACAGTTATATATTGGTGATTGAAAGTTTGAAACAGTATGATAAAAAGAAAAAAAAAATCAATTTTATATATTTTTGAGATGACAGTTATTGATGAGATTTTTTTTTACACTTAAAAGATGAACGTGATTTATGGTTATGGCCTTATAGTTTTTTATTTTTTATTTTTTTATTTTTTTTAAAAAATTAATTGAGAAGGGTATTTTGGGAAAAGTTAAATTTATCAACCAAAAGGCCCTTTCTTCTTTATATAGTACTATAAATTTTTTTGGGGGCTGATATCAATTTTTATTTTTATTTTTTTTTATATTTATTACTAAAACACTATTACATATATTAATGGACAAATTTATGACTCGTCAAATAAACCAGTCAAAAAAAAAGAAGAAGGGTCAAACTGTTAAACAAATTAAAGTAATAATTAATCAGATAAAATAAGTTCCATTAGCTAAGATCTATATCCTCAAATGATAAAAACTACTCTCTCTTTTTATCAATGCAACCACTTTGAACCGGACAAAATTTTATGCGGTTAATTTGAATTTGGTAAAATATTGTTTAAGTTAGATTTCACATGGCACATATATTTATTTAGGAACATTATTTAAAAATATATTACTCGTAGTAAAATAAATAAATAATATAATAGCTAGAAAAAAAAATGGAGAAAGAATAAGACAAGATTATTAATTATGAGAACATAAGTATTTTTTTGTAACACTTTTACGCTATAAATGACAAATCTATAACTCATATATAGAGTTTAATATTTGACGTCAATTTCATGATGCAAATTAACACAAGACTAACAGCCAATCTTTCCAAATATGCATCGCTCAACTATGACTATAAATGGTAGGCTACGCACCCACGAAAAATCGTTGCAAGCATGTGATGAGGGTTACCATGTTTGTCTTCTACTTCAACTATATAGTTTAGAAATCTTTGAGACTCAATATTTTTCAACTCAAATCTACTTTAGATGTTACAGCTGAAAATCTATAATCTACACGGGAAGTTTGCACATACAAGGAACCTAATGGAGCATTCTAACACTTTAAGTTGAGACACACTTTTGTTAATTAGACTCTTTTGGTTCTTTCATAGTTTTAACTATAGAATTAAAGCATTGTTATTACTTCATAATATTCCGTTATTATTTTCGAGACATTATTGTAATTTAATGAAGTAATACTTGTAAGTTTTATATATCAACGTACTTCATTTTTCTTAAAATTGTGCTATTATTTCTTAAAATATCAAATGTTTTCCTTGAGTATTTGCGTATGTGCAATTATTGGTCACAAGTTGGCAATCATGATACATGAGTAGAGAGTATCATAAAAATATTACGTAATAAACATGAAATATGAA